CTCAGCCTCCATAATTAAATTAAACTCATAATAAATGATCACTCATTGTGTGCGTGTGGTCTTTTATCAGAAGGAATTTGAATTCCTTACCTTACAGTGTGTGCCTTTATTTAATAAATAAATGTATTTTTATTGATCACAATAATTGTAGTTTTCAATTCCTGAAACAACTATTCTTTGACAAATGACTAGCTAAAGATAGGTTGCCAGGCAACGAAACATACGCCCACAGCAGCTAATTTTCGTCGTTTGAGAGTTTACAAGGTTTTACAAACTGAAACAAGGGCCTTAACTCTGGAAGTAATTTACAGAAATTTTTGAAATTTGACATATAAATTTCATACACATCGGATGATAACTTTTGTCGTTCGAATGTTCACAAGACAAGGTTCACAAATAAAACATGAGCCATAAATCTAGAAGTAATTGACGGAAATTGCTGAATTTCAAAAGACTTCTTCGTTTCACTAATTTCAATAATGCATAAAAAATTTCACAAAGATCTGATGATAACTTTTGGCGTTACAAGGTTCACAGGGTTCAACAAAGTTAAACACAGGCCATAACTCTAGACGCAATAAACGGAAATTCCTGAAATTCAATAAGATTCTTCTTTTTAATAATTCAAATGACGCATATAAATTTCATACAGATTGGCTGATAACTTTTGACGTTCAAGTGTTCACAAGATTCAACAAAGTGAAACAAGGGCCATAACTCTAGATGTAATTAACGGAAATTTGCTAAAACTCAATAGGCTTGTTCATTTAACTAATTTAAACGATACATATAAATGTCATACAGATCGGATAATAACTTTTGTCGTTCACAAGGTGCAACAAAGTGAAACAAGGGACATAACACTAGAAGTAATTGACGGAAAATATTGAAATTAAATAGGATTCTTTAGCTCACTAATGTAGTCGACAAATATTAATATTATAACAATCGGATGGTAACTTTTGGTGTTAGAGCGTTAACAAGAAATTGTGAACGACAAACCGACGGACGGATGGATGGGGGCGACGGCAATATACGTTCACATTTCCACATGGGCATATAAAAAATGAAGACTGTCTGTGTGTTTTTTTAGATATAGAGAGTGAGTGTGTTTAACTCCACTCTTCACAAATAGGTTATTTTGGGACTTACCTACCGTTCAATTTTATTTCAATAATTTGCTTGCTCGTAGGGGTCTTTAGCAGTGGGAGGACCCAGAGAAAACCCACGAGGTTGGACAGACGACCCTACTCCTTGTCACGTACAACTGGGCAATCGAAACCACGCCAGTTGACTCAATGACAGACCTTATGATGCAGCGCGCACGTGCTAACCATCCGGCCATCCAACTCCCCTTTTTTAGATGTAGGCCTATACATCCGGATCTGTAGTTGTCGCATGACCTCTCACTTTCTGTTTGACCATGACCTGGTATGGTCAAAAAATGTATTTTGAGTAACTGTAACCTAATAAATAAACAAGATAACAATATGAAAACATTCTTCGTGTATTGATCACACCAAGAAACATATTGGGTAAAGGTTTCAAAGCTCTGGGATTTCTCTGTGATGGTTATTAACCATTACGTCAATTTTTTGCTGTGACCTTGATAAATGGTCTCGGTCCCAATTTTAAGAGTCAGTACTACAAACACTATATAACTGAACAGTCCCGTGATAATTTTATTTGATCAAATATACTGAACGCCATGGAAAACGCATCACTTAGTTTTTCGTATAACAAAATGATCCTGTAAACATATCTTATTTATTTTGCTTCTTATTGTGAACAATATTCAAATGGGAACACATCAATAACAACACATTTGTACACTTATGGATGTTTAATCTGTAATCAAGGGTACAAAGTCAGAGGGGTCAAAACCAAAAGTACGACACAGATGTCAGTAGCGCGTGTGTCCTCCACGGACCATCATCACGGTAGGCTACAGCATTAACGTGCCCCCTGCAAATGTGTAAGGCGGTCTGGTGATGAAATGTGAAGCCTCCCCACACCATTACACTTCCCCCACCCCATCGATTCTTTTCGACGATGCAGCAGTCTGCAAGACGTTCCCCAAGACGTCTCCACACACGTTGACGGCCATCAGTGTGATAAAGATGAAAGCGACTCTCATCACTGAAGAGCACACTTTGCCAGTCTACTCTTCTCCATGTCTGGTGTCCTTGAGCCCATATCAAACGCCGCCGACGGTGATGATCCCTGAGGATAGCTCCAACATAAGGTCGTCGTGCACGGAGTCCTACTTCTCTTAAACGACGTCTTACGGTGTTGGCACTTACTGGTCCTTGTCCTCCGACGACTGCTGCACCTGTTCGAGTCGCTGGGCAGAATCTGTCACGCAGATGAGTGACCCGGATGTAGCGGTCTTGAGCCTGGGTTGTAATGCGTTGTGGACCAGGACGTTGACGGTCACGTGTTGATCCAGTAATTCGAACACGTTCCACGAACCTTACAATAGTGGACTGATGACAATTGAAGTGTCTGGCAATAGCACGTGTAGACATGCCAGCCCTGGACATTCCCATGGCTTCATTTTGTTGATTTTCAGTAAGTCTCGGCATCTCTAGCTCGATTCCTTCACACGTCCAACAAAAAATTACGACAGATTGACGTTTCACAGTTCATGTACTGCACATTAAGTTGAAAACAGGCTTTTAAAGGGCTCACACACAATGCTGCATGTGAATATTGGGTTTTTCATGTGCATCTCGTGCAATTTTTTTTTTTTGCACACGGGCCGATATTTTTTGCATTTGGGAGCATTGTGTGAAACAATAGTTCATAGTATTGCATAATATTATACATACAAAACCACCTAGTAATAAAATATTTGGGAAAAAAAAGTGATGCGTTTTCCATAGCACTCAGTATACATCGCAAACTTCAATTTCTGCAAGTTTCATAGATCTATCTTTCATAGTTTCTGAGATATTAGCTTCAGTCAAGTTTTTTGTGTTTTTAAAAAATGCTGAACATGTATTTTAGTGCCTCCAATTCTCGATCTTCAAAATGTGATAACTTTTTTAATTTTCAATATATTTTCAAAATTCTTTCAGATTATTGAATCTAAACAGTTGACGCTTGCAGTAAAATAGTCATTTTAGAGACATTTTGAGTCTTTAAAAACCCTTTGGCAACGCTAGTAGAATCAAGATCTTGCCCATGTCACCTATAATTACTATCTCAATGATTCACTTGCACACTGGTGTCTTTATCAAGAGAAAGAAACTGGAGAAAACTCAAAAGGTTTGGCAGGTGACCGTGAGCCTAATCATTGCCTGGGACCGAAAACCACAATACTTGAGCCAATGCCTAACCATGTCATGTAAAGCCCATGCATTTAGACCAATCAAGTTAGATTACTTATTTTGCTTTGTTTCTTTTTTCAAAATCAGTAACAAAATAAATGCAACTGACATGTGATTTCAGATTGCATGAAATAACAGAAAAATATCCTGTTTCGGCAAATAACAACACATACTTTTGTCAAGAAACTATGTATTCTGTTAACAGATTTCATAAAAAGTGAATGAAGAACAGTGATGATAACCTTTTTGTACAAGAGGAATGAATAAATTAACAATAAGATAGAAATTAAATATACAATATTAAATATAGAACATTAAATATTCCATAAGTATGTGTTATATTTTATTTATCTACCCAGTTACTAAATGTCACTAAAAGTTAAAAGAATAATTGAAAATTTCGCATGATTTGTCATCGTCTGTAAATGAATGAAACAACGGGTATGGTCAAAATCAGCGTAAACCAAAATGGCCAAATTTCACTTAGTCAAAACTAGAAAAATTTAGTCAAAATTTATTTAAACAGATGTATCGCTGGATTCCTATTAAACAAATATTTAACCATTTTGATGCCATGACCAATATATGGTCGGTTCAACTACAAGTTATGTCTGTTTTGACCATATTTTTGGTCCATTTTGGTTCAAAACAGTTTCGTTTATAAACTCTTATAAACAAGCAGGTGCCATTTTTAAGTTCCTCTGAATTCTTTTGATGGGTCTATTTTTAATCCGACTTAACCCAAGCCAGGTGATTTTTTTTAACTTTGCTATTAATCCTTTTGAGGCATTTAGTAACTGGATAGAGTAATAAACTATAATATATACTTAATACTTATGGAAGAACAATTACTAATTTATTTGGGCAATGTTTATGGGTCTTAATACGAAATGAAAGATATCATGTTACAAGTCAGTGAAAAAGCAGTTCATTTCTCTTTGTAAATATGTAAATAATTTTCTGGAACATTCGTATTTTTATAAGATCATTTGGATGGTACTAACCTCTATTAAGTGAGTGAGTGTGTGTGCCGGGGGGGGGGGGGGGGGGACTATTCAATGTTAAAATACCGGTCTTAATACAAAAGTCCAAATATCATGTTCCCCTATCAATGAAAAACAGATTCAATGCCCTTTTCAGTAATGTCACCTATCACTGAAAAGCACGTTTGTTGCTCTTATCAAATATGCATAATGTTGAAACATTCTGGCACATTCATATTTGCAGCCACGGTGGCTGGTAAGACGCTGGCTCTCTAGTCTTGAGGTCGCGGGTTCGCTCCCAGTGTTAGCCAAGAGTTTGTCCGGATTTTCCGGTGTGGTTTCTCCTTGTCAGTGGTGCAAGACGGAGGGCCTGACAAGGACAGCTATCTAGTCTTTTGGATGGCACGAAAGACTGAGGTCCTGTGTCCACATTGGCATGAATGTAAAAGATCCCCTGGCAGTTGGAATTCGATAAAAGAGTAGGCCTTAGCGCAGCTGTCAGGGCAAAATTTCCCTCTTAGCACACTGTATGGCATATGCCCATCTTCTTTAGCCCAGTCGGAGCATAACAGTGGAATGTTAAACCCCATTTCATTTCACATTTCCATAACTTGAAAATAAAAAGATTAAAGTATTTAAACTAAAGATGCGGAGCTTAATCCAAAATTCTGTATATCTACAAGTATATTCATTATTTGTTTGGCACAATGCATATACCTTTTTTTTTTTTTTTTTTTAAAAAGATAGGTTGCCAGGCAATGAAACATACACTCCCACAGCAGCTAAAACGTCCGAGCGGTCGACAAGGGTTGTCGAATATTTAATCTTTTGTAGATACTTGGGGGAATTTATTTACAAGACAATTTCATACAGATCAGATGATAATTTTCGTCGTTTGAGGGTTCACAAGGTTCTACAAACTGAAACAAGGGCCTTAACTCTTTACAGAAATTGTTGAAATTTGACCAGCTTTTTCATTTTACTAATTCAAATAATGCATATAAATTTCATACAGATTGGATTATAGCTTTTGCAATTTGAATGTTAAGGGCCATAAATTTAGAAGTAATCAACAGAAATTGCTGAAATTCAATAGGATTCTTGATTTCACTAATTGAAACAATCTGATTAAAATACAGATCTATATTTCGTTTCGTTTTTTTATACTTTCGATGGCCTACACTATATGAAGATCTGACCGCTTGTAGTGATAGGTCGCGTGAGAGGTCATACGAGCTGCTTTTGACCCTATGACATCAGACATTTCATTAACTAATCAGCATTGATGTTACTAGTGGATTACCCACAGTTCCGGGCAAAACACGTCTAAAACACGCCGTAACAGACCGTTTCATTGGCTAATCCCTCACACCATTATGAACATGTCTTCCAGATCCTAGTGTAGTAAAGACAAGTAAAAGAAGTTTTGAACTATAAAAACAAAACGAAATAGGATCTGTGTTTTAATCAGATTGTAATTTAAATAATGCATATATATTATAAATTTCATACAGATCCAATGATAACTTTGATCATTCGAGTGTTCACAAGGTGAAACAAGGGCCATAACTCTAGACATTATTAACGGAAATTGCTGAAATTCAATAGGCTTCTTTGTTTCACTAATTTAAATGAAGCATATACATTCCATACAGATGGGATGATAACTTTTGTCGTTAAAGCATTCACAAGGTTCAACAAAATGAAACAAAGGCCATTACACCAGAAGAAATTAACGAAAATTATTGAAATTAAATAGGCTTCTACATCTCACTAATGTAAACAACATATATCAATTTCAAAACAATCAGATGCTAAATGTAGTCTGTATAGTGTTCACAAAAAATTGTTGAACAATGGACAGATGCACGTATGCGACGGCAATATAAGACCACATTTCCATGTGAGCGTATAAAAAATGGATCAAAGTTAATTAGCCAGTACTAAACTCTATTTAGAGAGAGGGGAGGGGGCAGTGCCAAATGTTTCAAATTTCAAAACATGGACCTTATAATACAAAATATGGGTTTTAATACGAAATTCCAGTTATCGTGTTATACATCACTGGAAAAAATGTTTCTACGGTTCTTTGAATCTATTAGTTATGTCCTGACACATTCATGATTACATGTACATACTTTAAAAGAGAAAGAAAAATCCTTGTTTTGTTGAAAGAAATGTGCCGCTGTCAAACAGTAACCTAATTGCTAAAAATAGACTATACTTTCAATTTATCTTATTTGTTGAAGGTTCGGATTAGCCATACCAATCTCGAGATTTCGTTGCAGTCATGGTCGTCCAGCGAATTTTTTATAGTATGCCAGCTTGATTTCCTCTTACACTAATCAATGGAAATGACATTTTAGCAGAGCATTTAATATTGGCAGCGATACGCTTCCATAGAATCATCCCCTTGCAGGTCCTTCTTCTGGTTTCAAATGTTATATAATTATTTAGACAAGCCCATAATCAACTCTCTATACCATCAGATGGCTTGAATAGTGGATTACATTCGTGCCATTTAATCTGTTAACCTCCTTAAAATGGAAAATCAAGACTTTCTTTACAGAGAGAGAGAGACAGAGAAATGGGGTTTAAGGTGGACTAACCCACAAGGTTGGACAGGCGACCCTAATCCTTGTCATGTACAAGCAGGGAATCTAAACCAGGCCACTTGACTCAATGACAGACCTTGTGATTTTACTCACACACATTAAACCACTAGATCACCATTTGCAGACAGCACTGTGTTTGAAAAAATGATGGCTTTAGCTACACATGGAAAGTTTTGTCAAATATATTTTGTTCAAATTATTTGCTTGGTTGAACAATATAAGTTTCACACTCTATTCTGAAGCTTTACAATGTATTTTCATAGACAAAAGCAATTATATCATGACTATTGAATAGAAACTTTATATCTTGGAAATAGATTTCTGTAAATTCAAACTGGAAATGATCAGGACCTCGGTTTTCCGGACAATCCAAACAACTATATTTTGTTTCTTTCAAGGCCCTTGATTCTGAACCACTCACGAGGGGGAACCACTACGGAAAATCCAGATGAACTTTCTTGGTTAACATCGGGATCGAACACAGCACCTCCAGGCTAGGAACCCAATGTCCTACTCACTAAGCCACGGTGGCTTCCCAAACTGGAATGGGATTTAAATCATTGGATACCATTTCAGTTCCATTATCCAAATTATAAAGGAATCTTAATACATGTAAATTGTTGGTGTAGATTGGTAAATCTTACACAGTAGGCTATTATCTAAATTCATAAAATTTGATGATTTTAGTAAGTTTTTAACAGTTTGTTATTTTAGATAAGACATATTTTTTTCTTACATTAAATCCAGTGGTGTTTGACCCTAGTAACCTCATCTGTTGACTGTCATGGCTGTGGGCCAAGGCAATTCCTACATTAGTGACAGCATGACCATCAAGTCTTTTTAATCATCAAGACTTTAATAAATAGCCTCTAAAAATATAATCAGATAACTTATCTTTAAATAGAAACTAAGCATTGCAGACTGCTGTTTACAAGTTCCAATACCAAAAGGAACTATATAACCATTGCATACATATGTCTCTACAAGCTTTGAAAGAAGTAAAAGACAATTTACTTTGTTGCAAATGATTTATAACAGTGATGGATCTGATTGTTGATAAAACAAAGTTAGGCACACAAAGTTAATTCTGTTCACTATTGTGGGTTGAAACTCTTGGTCACATAGATGGCCAACGAAAGTGTTGCATTTGGAAGCCCTTGCTTATAAGGTCACAATATTTACTTGATTTAACCACTTTTGTGATCCAACTGTCAACAAAGTAAGCCAAAATTAAAATAAATGTACCATATTTTTCGGGGTATACATATAAGTCGATACTTTTCAGTTACTGTCGCTCCATATCGTCTAAAACAAAACTACTCACACTATGCCAATCAAAATATTTGTAGACGTTTCTTAGCTTGTTTATTTCATTATTTAAAAACATCCCCCCCCCCTTTTCAAATATTATCCTCAACCCGTGAAATATGCCATCAATATAGAATCTTTTCTATGACATTTGTCCAAATTGGCATGTTTCCATTTCACATGTCTTGCGAGATTTCTACTTTTAGTTTTCAGTTAAATTAACCAATCATACTATACTGCATTGTTTTATTCTATTTTTAGTAACATACTTAATAACCAAGTACAATTATAAACAGAGCCTGCATTGTCTTATATTTATCAGATATATTGAAATAAAATCTGGTTTAAATAAACCAAGAACACAACTTGGAATATTGTACAAGTTAGTCCAACATTTATAAACTGATTTTTTTACATTAATTAATATTATGGGCCAATTTTTCTTGGCGTAGACCGGCACAGTATTTGACTAGGATGACAGTCCCAAAATTCGATAATAGTTTGCTACCGTGAAGTTGAAAAATATTCGACTTATATACCGCTTCGACATAATATGGATGGAGGTCGGAAAAACAGTAAAATATGACAATTCGACTTATACTCCACATCGAGTTATACCCCGTAAAATACGGTAGTAAAAAAGCTGGCTTAATTGTATAGATCTTGCCCCATGATTAATTCAAATAACATATCAACCCAATTCAATACTTTAGCTTGGCCTAAATCAATGAGGTTTAGCGCTTATAAATAACATAATCTCAACAGTTTTAATTAGTCAGAATCAGAGAGAATAATAACATCGGGTTCAGGTTCACAGATACTTGATGTCACTTCATCATGTCCGGTTTCACATGTTGTCCTTTCACATAACACAGGTTCGTCGTCTGAGTAGTCTGTTTGAGAATTTGTTGTACTGTCTAATCGGTCAGCTTCATCAATCTCAATGATGTATGAATCAACTCGTGATTTACGTTTTATAAGATGTGTAGGAAGATGTTTTGCTATTTTATTAGTTTTAAACATAATTTCTTGAGAAAAATCTTCGCTTGATGTGGAAACCTGAGAAGATACCATATTATCTTCAGTTTTTGTAATACCAACAAGAGAATCGGGCAACACGTATTTTAGTGAAACATCCCTATTCTTCATAGCTTTCGTCACTAAGTCTTTTGCACGGTTTCTAAAGTCACTTAATGATGATTTTTTAGAAGAATTTAAAAATTTAGATAACTTTAAACCGACGGTTTTAATGTTTTGTTTGGATTTTTCAAATGGTTCAAGCGAATCAACAAATTCTACATTGTTTTGCTGACTATCGTCGGAAAGATCGCCAAAATCTTCAACAATATCTTTCTCGGCTACCCTTGAAACAAAATTGTTGCTTATGTTCTTCTTAGACGAATTAATCATATCAGTTGTAACATCAGTTATTTTGGTTTCGCCTGCTCTATCCACAGAAAAATTCAGCATATCTGCTGTAATCTTATTGATCTTGGTTCCCGCTTCTGTATCCTTAGACAAATTCACTTTATTCTCCATAACCATGGCAATTTCTGATTTATCTTGCCTATCTTTCTGCTCTGATGATTTATGAACAATGTCCTTCCATGATTCTGTACCTTGTGACTTGATTCCATTAACTGAATCAAATATACTATCAGAGTTCACAGCACAAACTGAAACATTTGAAACTGATGATATTATAGCAGTAGTCTCTTCTTCCTCAGTTTTATCACCATTCTTCAATTTTGCCGTTATTTTGTCAGTTTCTACATTCTTAACAGACACCACTCTGTCACTATCAGTTTCAGCATCTGGTATTTTCACACAATCAGATTTTACTTTAGTACCAGATTTAACAGGTGTCGGACAAGAAATTTCAAATTTACTGAGATCAGTTTTTAAATTTTTATTTAACTCATTAGAAGTTATATTAACCTTTTCACTGTAAACTCTTTTCGAAAATGCAAATTCATTCTCCAGATCAGAATCAAAATGTTCAACTTGTATTGATAGTCCGTCTGATTTATTGTTCTGTTCCAAAAATGGATCACTGGCAACATCTGTAATAATACAAATATCCTCATCACTTTTGTCTTCCAATTTTTCAGAAGTAATATCTTTATCTAAGTCATTTGAAACATCAGTTGTTTCAACTTTAGAATTGTTTTTATCATTAGCCTTATTTAGGGCTGGGTCTATCGTAAATAATGGTATAGCGACAGCACTGATATCCATGTCAACATCAAGATTGTCATTAGTCAGTTTATGCGTAGATAACAAGTCTGAAGATTGAGCATGAAATGCTGCCAATTTAGGATTTTTGCCGATAGCTGGCCGGGACGGTATATAGGCTGCCAGGATTTCTGTATCATCAACAAATTGATCAACATCTGAAATACATAGAAAAAAAAGTATTCAATAAGATATGGCCTGGATCAGTTAAGTAATGTCTAATTAATAATTTAAATAACATTTCAGGCCCAAAGAAAGACCTGCAATAGGCAGATTTAGCTCTTGCATAATGCATGTTTAGTCATCCATATCTCAATAGTTATCTCATAAATGATTCACCTGATTAATCATCCATGCCTCACTAGTTATCTCATATATGACTCACCAGATTAATCATCCATGTCTCACTAGTTATCTCAAAAACGACTCACCAGATTAATCATTCATGTCTCACTAGTCATCTCATAAATGCTTCACCTGATTAATCATCCATCTCACTAGTTATCTTATAAATGATTAACCTGATTAATCACCCATGTCTCACTAGTTATCTTATAAATGGCTTACCAGATTAATCATCCATGTCTCACTAGTTATCTTATAAATGGCTCACCAGATTAATCATCCATGTCTCACTAGTTATCTCATAAATGACTCACCAGATTAACCATTCATGTCTCACTAGTCATCTCATAAATGCTTCACCTGATTAATTATCCATGTCTCACTAGTTATCTCATAAATGCTTCACCTGACTAATCATCCATGTCTCACTAGTTATCTTTTAAATGATTAACCTGATTAATTACCCTTGTCTCACTAGTTATCTTATAAATGGCTTACCAGATTAATCATCCATGTCTCACTAGTTATCTTATAAATGGCTCACCAGATTAATCATCCATGTCTCACTAGTTATCTCATAAATGACTCACCAGATTAATCATCCATGTCTCAGTCTCACTAGTTATCTCATAAATGATTCACCTGATTAATCATCCATGTTTCACAAGTTATCTTATAAACGAGTCACCTACATATATGACTCTCTATAACAAATGTATCCATTTCGTGCATCATTCCGTCACTGCGTACAGCTACCTGGAGTGATAGTTTGGTTTTGATTATGATTTCCGAAGCCCATGGTCACCAGAAATCCATAAGCTGCACATAATTTATTTTTTCTTTACTATCTAGTTTTGAAATTCTTTAACCATGTTCAAACCCCATCTGATTAAAGTACAGATCTATCTTTATTACCAAATTCATCTCTTATAATTTCAGTGGCCATCTTACCGGTTGTAGTGTGAGGTTGTGTCAGGGGTCATACAAGCGACTTCTGACTCTGTGACATCAGTCATTTGATTAATGAATCATAATAATAGCATGACAGGACTAAATTCATCCAATCATCATGGCAAGTGTTAAGAGAGTAATTGATCAAGTCCACTACAGAACCTTAATAGTCATGCTCCTTAAATACACAAGCAGCGAAAACCATGTTTGGCTGTTTCTCTTTGAAATTACTGATACTTCACATTTAATTACGGGCTCCATTTAACCCTGAAATGTGGTTCTCCTGCAACAGCTAACTTATGAACAACCTAACTGCTGACATTGGTTTTTTTTTGCAAATTTTAAGCTCATTGTGTTAAGTTTGAGACAAACAAAACTAGGATCCATTGTTCCCATGGATTTCAAGACGTCTGATCAAAATCACAAACCTTCTATATTCTCCTCCTCTTCCTCTTCATCATCTTCTTCTTGAGATGAATCATCTTCAGATTTACCACCAACTACTTCTATATCATTTCCATCCCCCAACATTTCAAACTGTTTGTCTACATATTTATTAATCACCTAGAAATTGTGGGGGGAGAGAGAAAAAGAAATAGATTTAAAGTCCACTCAATCTATACTAGATTATTTCAGAAACAACTGTATAATCATTACTTCAACAAGCCAACAGTGAGGCTGATGTCCCCCGCCGAAATAGGAAAATAATTAGAGGACACATATAAATTTATCACAAATTATCTTTTACAAAGTATTGAACAATCAAACAGTATATCTTTACTTATAGTCTAAGCATACAATGTTTTTGATGGAATAATTATAGCATATTAAGGGGAAAACATGCTCTATGCCTACAGATCTAGAGTTTGGTTGTATCAACGGGTCTATTTTCCATCTTGCTGCAAGTTGTGCAAAGTTCACTGTTTTCTTTCTGTCATTAAATGTCAATTCATTATTGCATACTACATATTTAATTAATTTATAATAGTTTCTTTTTCAATTTGTTTTTTCCATTTATTTGTTTATTTACCTTGCCTATATTCATTGTATTGGATTGTATTGGAATTGCTCAATTGATGCTTTTATCAATACCTGTTTATAATATTATGACATGTAATGTGGCAAGTTGAGTCGGGACATGTAGGCTATAATGTAACCTAAATGTATACATAAGTGGATTTCGTTTCATTTTTTTCGAAAATATTGTACAGATAAAAGAGGAGGAATTACAGGGGTAATACATTGGAAAGCTTCTTCAAGAACTAAAGCATAAACTATATAAACGAGCTTCCAATCAAATTGTTTATCTCTGCTTACCCTAAGCGGAACGGACAGACAAACAGACAGACGGACGAACCCATTTTAATAGTTCCCTGCTTTCTTCGAAAGGCGGGGGACAATCAAAGTAGGATAGTTATTGTTTTCCAAAGTCTCGACCAATCAAATTGCGTATCGCTCTGCTTACCCTGAGCAGAAAATGCTCATTATCAAACTTAGTCAAGGTATTACTGTAATGAAACTATACACCAAGTTTCATCAATCTCACTTAATTAGAACTAAAGTTATCGTGTCCCAAAGCATCAACCAATCAAATTGCTTATCTCTGCTTACCCTAAGCGGAAAATGCTCATCTTCGAACTCCATCAAGGCATTGACCTAATCAACACATACACCAAGTTTGAACATTCTAGCTCAATTAGGAAGAGAGTTATCGTGCCCCAAAGTATCAACCAATCAAATTGCTTATCTCTGCTTACCCTAAGCGGAAAATGCTCATCTTCGAACTCCATCAAGGCATTGACCTAATAAACACATACACCAAGTTTGAACATTCTAGCTCAATTAAAAGTTATCGTGTCCCAAAGCATCAACCAATCAAATTGCTTATCTCTGTTTACCCTAAGCGGAAAATGCTCATCTTCGAACTCCATCAAGGCATTGACCTAATCAACACATACACCAAGTTTGAACATTCTAGCCCAATTAGGAAGAGAGTTATTGTGTCCCAAAGCATCAACCAATCAAATTGCTTATCTCTGCTTACCCTAAGCGGAAAATGCTCATCTTCGAACTCCATCAAGGCATTGACCTAATAAACACATACACCAAGTTTGAACATTCTAGCTCAATTAGGAAGAGAGTTATTGTGTCCCAAAAAGTGTGACGGACAGACAGACGGACGGACGGACGGACGGACGGACGGACGGACGGACGGACGGACGGACGGACGGACGGACGGACGGACGGACGGACGGACGGACGGACGGACGGACGGACGGACGGACGGACGGACGGACGGACGGACGGACGGACGGACGGACGGACGGACGGACGGACGGACGGACGGACGGACGGACGGACGGACGGACGGACGGACGGACGGACGGACGGACGGACGGACGGACGGACGGACGGACGGATGGCTGTCCGTCACACTTTTTGGGACAGACAGACAGACAGACAGACAGACAGACAGACAGACAGACAGACGGACGAACCCATTTTAATAGTCCCCTGCTTTCTTCGAAAGGCGGGGGACAATAATTCAATTGTATGTAGGGTTTTTATCTGTGGTAAGAAACCAGATGATCCGTAGAAAACCCATCTCCTTGTCAATTACATCCCTGGATTGAAACCATGCCACCCGACTCATTACAATGACAGAAATGAAATGAAATGGGGGTTTAACTTCCAACTGTTCTTTGCAATTACAGACATTATGATCTAAAGTGCACACATTAAGACCTGGATGGAAGGAAACAGTGTTTAACCTCTAATGATACAAAAAATCAAGTTATTTTGAGAGAAATATCGGGTGGTCCAGAAAAAAGGAGTACTCTATTTAAGGTGGAATAATTCAAAGTGTATTGTATCTATAATACAGATACAATATATCTATTGTAGAGGGTCCACAACTTTGATATACCACATGTTTTCACTATTTGCGTACGAGGGGCGGTCATTTTGTCCTGCAGTTTTTGTCTCATTTTCATGAAATTCGAACTCAACCATCCTTAGGGTGTAAGGGTGATATATTGTAACAGTTTTTTAAATCGGATAAAAATTGTGACCTCTATGGGGTCCACAAGCTTAAAACGTGATTTTTCCTACAATCAGGGGCCATAATTCAGGAAGTTATGGTCCGATATGCGCAAATATCGAAAGGAACCGAGATCTGTGGGTTATAAACATGCATTTCCAGTTTCATCAAAATCAGATGAAAACTGTGACCTCCAGAGGGTCCACAACCCTGTAACACAATATTTTGACACTATTTGCGAACGAGGGGTGGCCATTTTGTCTGTCAGTTTCGGTCCGATTTTTACGAAGTTCAAACTCAACAATCCTTAGGGTGTAACGGTGATATACTGTAACGTTTTTTTAAATCGGATAAAAATTGTGACCTCTATGGGGTCCACAAGCTAAAAACGCGATTTTTCCTACAATCAGGGGCCATAATTCAGGAAGTTATGGTCCGATATGCGCAAATATCGAAAGGAAACGAGATCTGTGGGTTATAAACATGCATTTCCAGTATCATCAAAATCAGATGAAAATTGTGTCCTCCAGAGGGTCCACAACCCTGTAACACAATATTTTGCCACTATTTGCGAACGCGGGGTGGCCATTTTGTCTGTCAGTTTCGGTCCGATTTTTACGAAGTTCAAACTCAACAATCCTTAGGGTGTAACGGTGATAGACTGTAACGGTTTTTTAAATCGGATAAAATTTGTGACCTCTATGGGGTTCACAAGCTAAAAACGCGATTTTTCCTACAATCAGGGGCCATAATTCAGGAAGTTATGGTCCGATATGCGCAAATATCGAAAGGAAACGAGATCTGTGGGTTATAAACATGCATTTCCAGTATCATCAAAATCAGATGAAAATTGTGTCCTCCAGAGGGTCCACAACCCTGTAACACAATATTTTGCCACTATTTGCGAACGCGGGGTGGCCATTTTGTCTGTCAGTTTCGGTCCGATTTTTACGAAGTTCAAACTCAACAATCCTTAGGGTGTAACGGTGATAGACTGTAACGGTTTTTTAAATCGGATAAAATTTGTGACCTCTATGGGGTTCACAAGCTAAAAACGCGATTTTTCATACAATCAGGGGCCATAATTCAGGAAGTTATGGTCCGATATGCGCGAATATTGAAAGGAACATAGATCTGTGGGTTATAAACATACATTTCAAGTTTAAACCAAATCGGATAAAAATTGTGACCTCTACAGTGTACACAAGCTAAAAACTTGATTTTTCGTACAATTAGGGGCCATAATCCATGAAGTTACAGTCCGGTACATGCCAATATCGAAAGAACTGAGATCTTAGGGCGATAAAAAAAATATTTCAAGTTTTGTTGAAATCGGATAACCAGCGGCTGCCAGGCAGGATACGCCCACATTTTCGAGAGATGGATAGAGAACAAACTAACAAGAAAGTGATTTTTCCTACAATCAAGGGCCATAATTCAGGAAATTACAATTCGATATGCGCAAATATCGAAAGGAACTGAACAAACGGCAGCCATTTTGTCTGTCAATTTTGGGCCGATTTTCACGAAATTCGAACTCAGTCCTCCTTAGGGTGTAACGGTGACATAATAGAACGTATAGAACGTTTTTTTAAATCGGATAAAAATTATGACTTCTATAGGGTCCACAAGCTAAAAACATGATTTTTCATACAATCAGGGGCCATAATTCAGGAAGTTACTGTCCGATATGAGCGAATATCGAAAGGAACTGAGATCTTTGGGTTATAAACTTACATTTCAAGTTTCAACAAAATCGGATCAAAATTGTGACCTCTATAGGGTCCACAAGCTAAAAATGTGATTTTTCGTACAAACAGGGGCCATATTCCATGAAGTTTCGATCCGATACATGCCAATATCGAAAGCAGCCGAGATCTTTTGGGGATACACCTATATTTCAAGTTTCGTCGAAATCGGATAAGAATTGTGACCTGTAGAGAGTCCACAAACAATTGTGGACGGACAGGGGCGACGGCATAATACGTCCACATGAAAATGTGGGCGTATAAAAATTGTGACATGTAGAGTGTTCACAAACAATTGTGGACGGACGGATGGACGTCCGGACGGACAGACCGACAACAGTATACGTCCACATGAAAATGTGGGCGTATAAAAATTCAGATTATGAACTAAAATTTACCTCTTCAAGATTGTTTCTACCATGTTGTTGGTTTGCTTCTAGTTTCCTCTGCAACTCTACATCAAATAATGCTGGATCACGTTCAAATCTGAAATGTTTTGAAAAATAAAAAGATCGTTTTAAAAGCTTGGTGCCAGATTTCACAAGACACCATAAATAAAGGTGGACTAATGATATAGCCTATTTAACTCACCGAAAAATTTCAAATCTTTTGGAAATGATTTATAGATATGCTTAAAGATGCATTATGCAAGAGCTAAATCTGCCTATTGCAGGTCTTTCTTTAAGCCTGAAATGTTATCTAAATTATTAATTAGACATTAATTGACTGATTCAGGCCATAATCAACTCTCGATGCCATTGTTAGTCTGCGATCTTAGTGGATTTGAATAAATTTTGTGATGGATAATTTAAGAACCAACGTTAGTAATGATGGTCGAGGCTAGTCGAAAAAATTGAATCGTTAATATCTTGGTTCAGAGTGAAGCAATTTGGGTGAGGTTTTCAGCATTTTTTGTTTTCGTTTTCTATTTTTTTAAAACTATTATAACGATCTGTCAGCTCTTTATCTAATCTTACCTAATGCCCCTTTAATATAATAGGGTAATTTAACTCAGTTAAGGTATTTCATTCATTAGTTAAACAAGTGACTTGATAACATAGTGATTGTTATCCAGGCAGTATAGTGTTTAATAAAGAGTCTTTCGTCTTATAACACAACACAGTTCTACCGATAAAAATCACTATATTATGTACACAACGTCAGGATTAACTACAGCTCTAATTATATTAACATAAAAATACATAATGACAATCGCTGTTACATTACGTCATAATACACAAAATTTATTATGCTCAATTAACCAGTGCGTAGCAGAAAATTGCGGAAGAACTAAGTGTATGACAAATGAGGATATCCAAAATAGCCACAAATGTAAACATTGGGTCATTCCATATCAACTGGACCAATGGTGGAAACAAGACGCCCTTCAGAAAAATTATAAAATATATGGCCTTAAACTAACAAATCCGAAATTTTACCTCTCTAGGTCAAAAACTTGCTGAGATATGGCCATTTAAAATTAGGACGCGAAACGAATAAAAAATTCAGTAATTTTTTTTCATGTTTTCAGGCGCTTTAAACTCACATTTCTAATATTAGTAGAACTCTCTAATTTTGTAATCTAAGACAACTTTTTGAGAGAGAGAGAGAGAATTGAGGTTTAACGTCCACTCAACACAAACTTGGTCATTTCGGGGCTAACACATACTTCAATTTTTTTCATTTCAATAATTCGCTTGCGCGTAGGGGTCTTTAGCACTGGAAGGAAACCCGAGGACCGGTAGAAAACCCACAAGGTCGAACAGGCGACGCTACTCAACCACGCCAGTTGACTCAATGACAGACTTTATGATACAGCGCGCACGTGCTAACCATTCAACCATGCAACCCCCGTGACAACTTTTGGTGTAGATTACGAATTTAGCATCACACTCAATGTCCAATACACACTTTTCGCACTTGTTTTTGAAAGCAAAATTAAATTGAAACGATAGCCTACTCCCTGTAGCCAAAATGAGTCCATGTTCTCTTATTCTACATTATAAGTTGCTCTAAAATGACAAATATGAGGGGCCTGCCGCCCATGTCTTTCAGAAGTAATTTTAATCTGAATGTCAAAGCCCAATATGTCCAATACATACCTTTAGCACTTGCTTTTGAAAGCAAAATTAAATTGAAACGATAGCCTACTCCCTGTAGCCAAAATGAGTCCATGTTCTTATTCTACATTATAAGTTGCTATAAAATGACAAATATGAGGGGCCTGCCACCTATGTCTTTCAGAAGTAATTTTAATCTGAATGTCAAAGCCCAATATTCCAAGTGGGTAAGACGCTGGCTCTCTAGCCTGGAGGTCGGGAGTTCTACTTGATATCAGTACTTTATTAAGAGGTCTCTCCTGTTAAGAAGTCAGTCATGAAAATTCCCTTGAGAGGCCGCTGCATACAGATTCTATTTACTCAGGAGAGATTTGATTGGATGATAAAAATAGACACACTCCGTCAAAAACCTGTTACCCTACCCGTCCATTAGACCACTCAACGACTAAGCGATGTAAAGAGCATTATTCTAGTATGACACACAAGGTTAGCCAGGCAAACTTACACCTAGTGGGATTGAACCCGTGACTTGCATGAATAACAAGTACCCACAAGGTTAGATAGGACACCCTATATCTGGTGTAATCGACACCATGCATTTCACAACTCGACAACACTAACAATCCCAGTCATTGTTTTTTAAGGCGAGCGATCGCTCTCGAGCACCTGCCGCTCACCTGCATGTTGACCGAGGGGAGTTTTTTTCCCTCCCCTTAAGACTGAAAATCGCTCTCCTTTACATAGTCTTTGGGATTTATTATCATATATGAAACGAGGAATGACCCCATTACATGCAGTTATTGATCTTAGAACCATTTCCCATGCGCATAACTAATCACTCTCCTTAATATCAGATCACTCTCCTTAATTTCTAAATCACTCTTCTTATCGAAACTGGGAGAGTTTTTTGAGGGGGGCGATTTTTTCAATTCGTTGATTGAGGGGAGCTTTTTTGGCTCTCCTCTGAAATACAAACAACAATGACTGCAATCCACATTCCTAACCACAATTGTTATACTTTTCTTATTAAAATTTACATATACTTTTGAGTAAATCAATTGTAAAGGCACTAATACTCTTAAAATAAAGTGATATGTGTTCAACTGGCTTGATCCAATGTGTTATTTCCAGAAGTAATAGATGTCAAATATGGAACAGCTCAAAAATATACACACAAAATGCAATCAAACCCACAAATCAGAATTACTAAAATCATGATGCATATTTTTTGCGAATTTATTGTGAATTATCATGCACTTAGCTACATTTATTTCTCTAAACTAAAATAGTGCAAAATAAGAAATAACTTACGAAAAGTTGTCATTTACTCGACATAGAAAAGTACACATAAAATCTTTACGTCGTCTTTCTTGTAGAATGTCTCCCACATTTACAAACTCTTCTCTAGCGATCATATCCACCTGACTGTTACTGTAATATTAATATAATCAGACTTAAATATTGCCACTGAAATCTGTATTGTCATATTGCAATATTTCTACTTGCGGTAGTGCTAGATCTCCATACTGAGATTTACGAAAATGGTGCAGTATTTTGTATTTTATCACTATCAAATAATATTCATAATAATAACATTATGTTTTTAATCCTTATGGACACATTGTTTGAGAGTTCGGGTCTCACAATGCAGTTTTTTTTTTGATTTTTAAGAATACCATTTCCGCACATGAGCAAACAGACATTAAGGTACAATAGTCCATCTGATAGAACATGTGACAGGAATATGGAATAAGCCCATTGCATGATGATAGAATTAGGGAATGCAGCAGTACATCAAGGAGGTCGCTCTTCGATCCCATTTCAATGCGTACTGATATCATTATGCAGTGAACTTATTCCAAAAATACCAGATCACAAACTCGAACTACAATACCTCACTGTAGGCTTTTGAATTTTTACTTAAAATTTATAAATTATGAAATAAACAATGGTCCTCCTTTGATCACTGTCGCTGACTTTGAGGCATTTGCTTCTTCATTTTATCTTATTCATTACGGTACTGGTATTTTCTCCACAATGTCATAATACACTGAAGTTTTAGAAAAGGTGGTAAAATATCACGTTGTTTACGTGTGTTTGTGATGAGGGATGAGGGGGGGATGGCGGGCGAATATCATGTGATTGCCACTGTTAACAGACGGGAAGCTAACGCTTAGATGTATCCTTACCGCACAAGCTGATTAAAACCACAGATCCTATTTTGTTTCGTTTTTTATAGTTCTAGTTCAAAATTCTGTTTTACTACACTAGGAGCATCTGGAAGAGTTGTTATATAACCTGCGTTCTGATTGATGTGAGAGATTAGCCAATGAAATGGTCTGTGCTGTGTACGGAACTGTGGGTAAACCACTAAAATCGTCAACACTAATTGATTAATCAATGTCTGATATCATAGGATCAAAAGCCGCTCGAATGACCCCTGACGCGACCTTCCCTTACAACCGGTCAGATCTTCATGTAGTATAAGCCATCGAAAGTATAAAAAAACAAAATGAAATATAAACTTGTATTTTAATCAGATTGCATTACCGCATAAACCATTCTGACATTTATTAAAGATATCGTAGTCAACATTTAATGACTGATAATCTCAACTTCATTTATTATTCAGACAGCAAATAATCTTAGTTCACAATAGATGGTGTGTATTTTTGACTGCGGAGGAAGTATGACCCAATTATTTTTTCCTTCAAAAAACATTGTGTTCCTGTTTTATTCCTGAGGTAAAATAGTACCAGGCGTTTACCGACAAACAATGACATGTAACCACTGTTTCTAATTGGCTGGTTTTTTTTGTCGGCTAAGCCTTTAGCTGATTAATGTTTAATCTAGTCAGTGGGTAAAACAATGAACCGGCTACTATGGTATCATAAATCAATTTACTTTTGGCTGAATTACAATGGGTTAATTATTACTTGTTAATTAAGAAGTCAGTCAACCTGCTTGTCGGCTACAAGTCATACCTTAGTGAAAATCAGCCATGTGGTTCATAATCCGAGTAGCCTATTAGCACATTTAATGGTAATTTTGATAATCAGCTGAAGGTAAAAAAAACAAAACAAGCTTGCTGATTATTCAAAATAGTTTCAGTAAGCTACCTTTGGCACAGGAAGTTACAAACGGTCTTTATTTTATCCAATACTGTAAATAAAGTGAAGAAGTTATAGGGGTAATGTAACACAATGTATCTATATATTGTTGCATGCCTAAAGTGAGACATTATATGTTAAAATGAAAAAATTCTGTCTTCGATTTGATTTAACCATGTACATTATGATTATTGGGGTGGGGGGTGAGAAATTAGATTGTGAACATAATATGAGACAAATCTGCTAATCCATGATTTAGATGCTTTAAGATTTCGTAAAAGTCATACACATTATTGCCTGTAAAATTCCTTAATATAAGATTAAGAGATAAGAGTGGCTATGAAGACCTGGTTATCCCACATGTCAGAGAGAGAGAGAGAGAAATGGGGTTTAACGTCCACTCGACACAAAATAGGTCATTTCGGGACTAACATATGGTTTAATTTTATTTCAATAATACGCTTGCACGTAGGGGTCTTTAGCAGTGGGAGGAAACCAGAGGACTCAATGACAGGCCTTATGATACAGCACACACGTGCTAACCATTCGGCCATCCAACACCCCCCCCCCTCGGATGGCAGTGACTAGTTTTGTTTGTATTGAACTCTTTAGACTGATTTTACTCACATGGCGATTTTTTTTAATTTATACTATTCCGAAACCCCAGCAGATTTTCCATGGTGACATATTGGCAGGGTTACCGGGGTTAGCCTCTAACTGGGGTTTTACAGAGATTTGACAACTGACCGAAGTGCTAGTGTCCATATTTGTCCCTGGTGTTGGATTGTGACATTGTTACTTGTTATAAACAATAAAGGGATGGTATATAGACATGGGTGTTGAGGTAACACCTGTGAGAGGGTTATAAGGCTAAATGGAAATCCAAAGTTGGAAAACCCAGAGGTAGGGAGTTGTATAAAAGACATAGTCACATAACCAAAGGATGACAGGCCTACCCATCCGTCAATTCAACTGACAATCTCACCTCGGTCCACAAAAAGGAGGAACACATACCAGTCGCTTACCACTTCCAATTTCCAAGGCATTTTAGTCCAAACTTTGACTGCCATATAATTAAACTATTTGGTACTAACCCGTACCTAAATATATTAAACCCATTGGGCACCATGTTGAATTACACAGTATTAAACGTTCAAAAACCTTACTACATTATGAAATCAATGACAAATCTAAACTTGGGCACCCAAACCCTTTTTTGTTTTGTTGTAAAATTCCTTACCAGCCTTTGTCAATTTGCCTATTTATTTTATTCTCCACTTTTAATGCAATAAAAACTGAACTAAAAAATGCAACTGTAGTAAAAACTTGTAATAATAGAAACTAAAATATACTATAATTCACAGTAATTACCTTAAACCTAGGTTTGACCTTCTGTTGACTTTCTCAATAACATTTTTAACATCATGAAAATCTGGGAATTCTTTATGCTTGTTAATCATTTTTTCAATCTTTTTATTTATCTCATGATATCGAGAGCCTGGATTTAGAAAAAGAGAGAAATAGATATTAATACCAGTCCACAAGCAGATATTTTTGGGATAAACATACATGTATGATCTACAGTGCACTAGTCTGACCACCCTCTCCTCCCCACTTACACACATATCAAACAAGCAGTTGCCATGCATGATACACCCATATTTTGCAAGAGATGGGCAGAGAACAAGCTAAAAAAAAAAGATAGGTTGCCAGGCAACGAAACATACGCCCACAGCAGCTAAATCGTCCGGGCAGTCAACAAGGCTTGTCGCATATTTTTACTTTTTTCGGTAATGAAACATTTATAATACACTAAAATCTGATTAAGAGCAACAACTCACGAAGTAATTATCAGAAAACTATTAGAATTTGTTTGGTTTTATAAAGTTCTGTCCCATGCTAACGTTTTGTATGCAAAGCTTTTATCTTAAAACTCTGTGTATCAATCTGAAGTCAATCGGATGATAACTTTAGCCTTTAGAGCGTCACAAGATTTTGCAAAGTGATCAAGGGCCATAACTTTGGCAGTAATTATCGAAAATCGTTGAAAACCAATAGGCTTCTTCGTCTTATGACCTTAAACACTGTGTATAAATTGAAAGTCAATCGGATATTAACTTTGGCCTCTAGAGTGTCCATAAGATTTTTCAAAGTGATCAAGGGCCATAACTCTGGCAGTAAAATCAAACAAGCCAACAGTGAAGCTGGTGCCCCCTGCCGAAATCCCAAAATACACAGATGACACATATTGATTAATTGCACATTTATCTTTTCCAAACTGATTATCTAAGCATAAAAGCATAGTCTAAGCATAAAATATATGTTCACAATCAAACACAGGTTTTGAAGTACCCGGTAGTGAAACTATACACTAAGTTTCATCACTCTCCATCAGTTAGAATCAAAGCATCGACCAATGAAATTGCTTAGCTCTGCTTAGCTTTAGCTTGAAATGTTAACCATTGAACTAAGTCAAGACATTCACCTAATGAACATCTTTAATTTTATTTGACTACTCCGCCCCGCCGGTATCATCTTTTGATCCAGTCTCCACGCAGATGTATCAGCCTGTCCAGCTTTAATTACTCTCTAAGGGAGTGTTGCCGTACCCTTTTCCTGTTTCTAATGAACAACTACATAAAGTTTATACATTCTACCTCAATTAAAAGCAGAGTTGTTATGTTCCAAAGTCTTGACCAACCAAATTGCTTATCACTACTTAGCCTAAGCAGATATTAGTCAAGGTATTGATGTAATGAAACTATACACCAAGTTTCACCACTCTCACTCAGTTAGAACTTAGTGTGTAACAGTGATATAAACATACATTTCAAGTTTTAACCAAATTGGATAAAAATTGTGACCTCTACGTTGTTCACAGGCTAAAAATGTGATTTTTCGTACAATCGGGGGCCATAATCCATGAAGTTATGGTCCGATACATGCCAATATCGAAAGGAACCAAGATCTTTGGGAGATAGACCCATATTTTAAGTTTCGTCAAAATCGGATAAAAATTGTGACCTGTAGAGTGTGCATAAACAAATTGCAGACGGACCAACCAGTCTAGCGTGTTAAAGTTAATTCAAAGCTCTCACCGAAAGTGGGGCTAAGCTATTAACATATTTTTGTAAAAAAAAAATCCGTTTTCCAAGAACTTGTGTTGTCACAACCAGATAACGCACGTACTACAGGTAAACATAGGCTGACTATTTCTCCAAGGCTTGTTAAAATTTCATGAACAGTTGATTTTCCTTCATCGCCAGCCGCCAGGTATCAATGTTGATATAGTTGGTGGTAACAGCAGTAAGCCGACAGAACAATAACATCTGTATCATCGCTTCGAATTATTACACGAGAATGGTTATCCACAGTGTCAATTGTATGCAGTAAAATTCTTGTGTCCGCTTTCTCATAGTTTCTGAAATAATAGGCGTTTATGGGCATTCAAGCTGGTTTTCATATCTCTCCAAATCATGATACATATTAATTCCCTCTGGTTTGCTCAAACATCTTGGTATATTACTTTTAGAGGCGACCAGACCATTCTGTTGATAAAGAACGGCAGCCATGGAACACGAACATAATGTGCCAGGTATTCTATATTTAATTGTTTGCATGATAGTGGCAATAGGAAGTGTTTGACTTCGTCATATGAACAAGAGCATGCATTTTGAGATAGTTAGCTACGAGAACGTAGCTAAAAATGTTGAGATATACTGATGTGCTTGTTTTTAGCTACGATTGGGTGCCTTTAGTTCCAAGTGGCAAACTCAATTTCTTTATTAATGCATGTAACATTTTAAAAATAAGATAATTTTATACTATTATGACTAATTAAACAGACAGAGGCCAATGTAGTGGCACAACTATCACCAAACTCAAAATATTCGCTTTTAAATTAATGAAAAAAATGAAATGAAATGGGGTTTAACGTCCTACTGTTCTGCTCCTAACCTGGGCTAATGAAGATGGGCATACGCCATACAGTGTGCTATGAGGGAAATTTTGCCTGGGCAGTGGCGATACGGCCTACTCTTATATCGAATTCCAACTGGCAATGTGCACGCCAATGTGTACACGGGACCTTGGTTTTTCGTCCCATCCGAACGACTAGACAGCTGTCCTTGTCGGGCCCTCCATCCTGCATCACTGACAAGGGGAAACCACGCCAAAAAAATGGAATGAACTTTCTCGGCCAATGCAGGGATCGAACACCCAACCTCCAGGTTAGCGAGCCAGCATCTTACCCACTTAGCCACGTGATCCCCTTAAATTAATGAAGCGTTGTTTTTATCCGACATACACCGTCATACATATCCCGTTTCAAAGTGGCGTTCCTAGTAACGGCTTAACACCTCAATTTTAAATACGATAATTTCAGGTAGGATTATATGCTTAATTGTAGTTGGATGTGGCAGCTAGAAATATTATAAATAACAATAATCAATCGTTGTTTTGATGAAAAATATTGTCAATTTTGCTTACTGAGGCCTGATGTGATTTGCGTTGGGTTTTGCTACACGTAACATGGAACTATATAGCACCTTTTCTTATCTCGAAACACGGAGGGTTGAGAGATGAGGTTTGTTATCTAGGAGATAGTATGCAACTGGAACATATTAGCTGGTATCAAAAATTTCAGTACGACTTAACACCTTCCTATTGGATATTATGTTGGTTAATAAGCACAAAAACCTCCAAGACCAAGTGGAACAAAATCTTTGCATAGTGTTAATGTAACACTATTAGTGATAACGTAATACCAGTTTTGTAAATAAAAAATTCATATTTTGACCTATGACGTCAGACATTTGATTAACCAATCAGCATTGATGTTACTAGTGGATTACCCACAGTTCCGGGCAAAAAAGGTCAAACACTCGATTCGACAGACCATTTGATTGGCTGACCCTCATTTCAAGTAGAACACGAGTTAAATAACAAGTCTTCCAGATCCAAGTGTAGTAAAGACAAGTAAAACGAAATTTTGAACTATAAAAACGAAACGAAATAGGATCTGTGTTTTAACCAGATTGCCTTTGTTCTACCATAGATAGGGGTATCGGAAAAAATATAGACTTAAACCGCTAGCCTATATGTGCATCTTTCAATTAGGTAAAGATCTATGCGCATCTTTCAATAAATCTAAACATCTGATGTGACAATTTTAATGTCTCCGAACAGAGAACATATTGTAATTTTTTATCTCCCTTCAGAGATCATTTCTCCCCATGGTTAGTTGCAAAATATATCCCTCTCTAGCTATTGTTACACTTGGAGCTGAAAGTTGGGGTTTTGACGGAGTATGTCTATTTTCAACCTGCAATCAAATCTCTCTCCTCTTCCATTTTTGGAAGTCATCGTTGGATTCTGGTCAGTTTGTTGAAAGAACTGATACATACATCATTTGTTTGTCACAAAATTAGTTTTCTGGAATATTCTGCTATTCTCTTATTAATCAATCATAATGAATTTAGCAGATTGTGATGTAATATAGTCACGATTGTCATTATACACCGCAAAGTTCACATATTTAGAGCTCTGGTTAATTCAGATTGATTTGTTATACTATAATGGATTGGTTGTTAACCCAACTGTTAACCAGTCATAATGTGGGACAGGAATCATCAGTTAGTCCCAAAGTGTTTAGTGGGATTAGTTGTAATCAAATGACATTCCTGGACAGTGCTTTAACACTTTAACATTTGAACATTGGACCCTGTGGCGGGAGTGCAACTTTAACATGTTCAGATACAGACGAGTTGTTGGTCTCAGTATATTCTCTTTGGTGCTATTACTTTTTGTAATGGTTAAATCTGCTTCTGGTTGTTACATTAGTTGCATTTGATTTGGTAGGAGACTTTACTCTTGAATGCAAGGACAGTTAGGGGTTTGGGTTTTGCTAAGCAGGCACTAGTTGAAAGGTTATTGTAGGTGACGTTTTTGAAAAATTTGAGCTTATCAGGATCACATATTTATTTGTCACAACTGACAACCAAAATATTACTGTTATTCATGCTTGTTAACATCAAATTTGTAAAGGTCTTTATTATTTGATAAATGTAAGCTTATATGGAATATCATGTGCACTGGCTATTTACAGGCCAATATGAGCTTTTGCTGATAACTCACATGCTGTGTCTCGGTCGTGCAGTCATTTAATAAGGAATGTCATTTGAGGATGGCGTACAGTGTCAATACACCTGTCCAATTAAAGTTAGTCCACACTTTTGTTTCTCTTTTATTTTTCTGTTATTTAATTTTCCACTACCATAAGGCCTTGCAACATTTCTTACGACTTGAACCCTCATTCCGTCAATGAAAAATTGCTATTTAGAAGTAGTTAGATCTTATGTAGTGCAGATCAACAACGTAATCATGTCCAATTGAAATAAAAATCTACCGGTAATTTGAATTTGATTTTCTGTTCTGGAATGATCAAATTGTTTACATAATTTATAATTGTTGGTAACAAATTAGCTATGAATATCAAACTGAATATTGCCTGAAATCTGAAGTCTAAAAGACATAATTCAATTTACCTGCATAACTAAAAGCTCTTTCTGCTGGCCGACCGGTTGTACGATTTCTGCCTTTTATTTCACAGAGTTTATTCCACACAACAACATACTTTCGCTCTAATTTATCCTCATAAATATAAGATGATGTCTCATCATCCAGATCATCCAGCGTTAATTCCTGGTCTCTTAATTCTTCTATCTTAATCCTTAATCTCTGAAAATCAAAATTACAATAAATAAAAGACTATTTCTGCTGTAAAATGAAGTAAACAAGAATTGTGGCCTGTAGGCGACACACAGACACACAAAAATAAAATAGGCATGACTCTGCCCCTGGGGGTTGGGCATGCACTACAAAAATGAAATGAAATTGGGTTTAACTTCCTACTGTTCTGCTCCGAACTGGGCTAATGAAGCTGTCAGGCCCTCCATCCTGCATCACTGACAAGTGAGAAGACAAGAAAGGAAAAGAATAAATTTTAAACATCTTGACAACACAATAATATGCTTTTTTTCTGATTTAAGGCATCTGTTATTGTTGCAAGGAGAAATTTACACTGACAGAACTGCTTCTGCTTACCCTATATTGAATTCTAACTATCAGAAACACATCAGGCTACTGTTATTTGAATAAATTTCGATTTTGCAAACACGTATACTTCAGTTCAGACAATCAAATGAATGTTTTATATGCAATGAGAAAACCATAGAAAGCTATATTAGCAGTCTTAATATTTTGCAAGAGATGGACATAGAACAAGCCAAAATAAAAGGTAGGTTGCCAGGCAACGAAACATACGCCCACAGCAGCTAAGGCGACCTTCGAATGTAGACTATCGTTGCGACTACAGTCTGAACTATCCCGACCATCCTCTATCGTATGGTATGGCTGGTCACGACCACAGGTTGAACTACATGTATAGTACGAAAATCCGTGCAACCGAAGGTCGTCCTGGTCCTCTGGGCAGTCAAAAAGGGTTGTCGCATATTTTTTCTTTTGTCAGTAATGAGATATTAATCAGATATTAACTGTAGCCTCTAGAGCTTCTACAAGATTTTTCAAAGAGGTCAAGGGCAATAACTCTGGCAGAAATGATCCGAAATAGTTGAAAATCAATAGGATTCTTCATCTTATGAACTTAAACTGTGTGTATAAATTTAAAGTCAATCGCCTGCAGAAATTATCAGAAATAGTTGAAAATCAATAGGATTCTTCATCTGATGACCTTAAACAGTGTGTGTAAATTTAAAGTCAATTTGATATTAACTTTAGTGTCTAGAGTGTCCACAAGATATTTCAAAGAGATCAAAGGGCCATAACTCTGGCAGTAATTATCGGAAATTGTTGAAAATCAATAGGATTCTTCGTCTTATATGGCCTTAAACACTGTGTATAAATTTAAAGTCAATTGGATATCAACTTTAGCCTCTAGAGCGTCCACAAGATTTTTCAAAGTGATCAAGGGCCATAACTCTGGCAGTAATTATCGGAAATCTCTGAAAATCAATAGGATTCTTCGTCTCATGACCTTAAACACTATGTATAAATTTAAAGTCAATCGGATATTAACTTTAGCCTGTCGAGCCATAATCCAGGAAGTCATGATCCAATACACACAAGTATCAAAATGAACCCAGATCTTATATAAAACAAAGTTTCATTGAAATCGGATAAAAACATGTGACCTCTATAGTATCCACAACCTATTTGCGTACGGGGAGTGGCCATTTTGTCAGGCAGTTTGTTCAATTTTCATCAAATTCGAAGCCAACTGTGTAACAGTGATAAATTTAAACGTATTTTGTTAAATCAGATAAAAATTGTGACCTCTAGAGGAACAATAACCAAAAACACGATTTTTCATACATTCTGGGGCTATAATCCTGGAAATTACGGTCAATGTGCGCTAATATCGAAAGGAACCAAGATCTTTGGGATATAAACATATATTTTTATTAGAATAGAAATCTGATAAAAATTGTGACCTCTAGACGGTTCACAACCTTGGTAGAACATACTTTTTCGAATTCAACTATCATCAGGGTGTAATGATGAAATATTTAAACATTTTTTAAAATTGGATAAAAATAGTGACCTCTAGAGAAACCACAAGCTAAAAATGTGATTTTTCTACAATCAGGGGTTATAATCAATGAAGTTACATGTACAGTCACATACATGCCAATATCGAAAGGAACCGAGGTCTTTGGGATATAAACCAATATTTCAAGTTTCATCAAAATCTGATAACCAGCGGCTGCTAGGCAGGATACGCCCACATTTTTCAAGAGATGCATAGAGAACAACCTAAACAAAAAGCAATTTTTCTTAACATCAAGGGCCATAATTCAGGAAGGTACAATCAGATATGTGCTAATATTGACAGGAATCAAGATCTTTGGGTTATAAACATGCATTTCAAGTTTCATCAAAATCAGTTCAAAATTGTGACCTCTAGAGGGTCCACAACCTTGAAAAACCAGATGTTTACACTATTCGCGTAGACGGGCGGCCATTTTGTCTGGCAGTTTTTGTCCGATTTTCATGAAATTTGAACTCATCCAACATTACAGTGTAACAGTGATATATTTGAACATTTTTGTAAATCAGATAATAATTGTGACCTCTAGAGGGACATAATTCAGGAAGTTACGATCTAATTCAAACTCAAGCTTAAAACACAATTTTTCATACGATCAACGGCCATAATTCAGGAAGTTACGATCCGATATGTGCGAATATCGAAAGGAACCAAGAACTTTGTGATATAAGCATAAATTTAAGGTTGCATCAAAATCGGGAAAAAAATGTGGCCTCTAGAGGGTCTACAACCTTGATATACCGCATATTTACACCATTTGCTTTATAAGAGCAGCGGCAATTTTGTCCATCAGTTTTGGTCCGATTTTCCTGAAATTTGAACTCATCCAATATTACGGTGTAACGGTGATATATTTGAACACTTTTGTAAATCAGATAATAATTGTGACGTCTAGAGGGACCACAAGCTAAAAACACAAGCTAAGTTACGATCCGATATGCACAAATATCGAAAGGAACCAAGAACTTTGTGATATAAGCATAAATTTAAGATTGCATCAAAATCGGGAAAAAAATGTGGCCTCTAGAGGGTCTACAACCTTGATATACCGCGTATTTACACCACGTCTTTTTAAATCGGGTAATAATTGTGACCTTTAGAGGGACCACAAGCTAAAAACGGGATTTTCGCACAGTCAAGGGCCATAATTCAGGAAGTTACGATCCGATATGCGCAAGTATCGAAAAAAGCCAAGATCTTTGGGATATAAACATGTATTTCAAGTTTCATCAAAATTGTGAGCTCTAGAGGCTCCACAACCTTGATATACCATATTTTTACGCTATTTGTCAGTTTTAGGCCGATTTTCACGAAATTCGAACTCAACCATCCTTAGGGTGTAACGGTGATAAACTAAAACGTTTTTTAAATCTGATAAAAATTATGACCTCTATAGGGTCCACAAGCTAAAAACGTGATTTTTCTTACAATCAGGGGCCATAATTCAGGAAGATACAATCCGATCTGCGTCAAAATCGGATAAGAATTGTGACCTGTAGAGTGTCCACAAACAATTGTGGACGGACGGACAGGGGCGATGACAATATACGTCCACATGAAAATGTGGGCGTATAAATAAAATAAAAATCCTGAACCTCAAGTAAAGATTCTAATCTTTTTATATGTTTCTCAGATGGAGCTTTCTTCTTAACTTCTGCTTCATCTTTAACCTTCGACTGTGGTTTACTTGTTGAAGCACACGGTCTGTCCATTAGCGGTTGACCTGGTAATTTAAGATCTTTGTCTATTTGATACTGGTCTTCAGTGTCACAAATAATAATATCCTTATCAGTAGATCCTAACTTTCTGTCTTTAGACGGTGTCGGTTTTAAGTTTAAGAATGACAAGAATGATTTTTTCTTTTGCTGGGATTTTTCTGTTGGTGATGAAACATCAAGTATCACACAAGAATCATTTGCATCCCCTGATATTTCAATTTTTTCATCTTCTCGAATAATAAGATCTTCATCAGTTTTTTCTGTTTCTATTATAGAGGTAGAGGACAAAAGGTGAACATTTGAAGACAAGTTATAGAGAGAGGTAACTGATTTAACAGAACTTTCATTCTTGATTGTTTGAGGAATGGAATCATTTGTATTATCATTCTCACTTAAATTAATACAAGTGTTCTGATTGGATGACTTTTCATCACAAGTGATGATGTCACTACTACTGGTGGAATTATTTTTTATCATTGAATTAAGTTTTTGGTCCGGCCTATAATTATTGACATCTAGGCTTATTTCCATGTCAGACATTACACTCTCGGTGCTAGAAGCTTCAGACGTACATGCCATATCATCCATTTTACGTAACTTAGCAACCCGGTCCAACCCACTCTCTTTAGACTTGCGTTTTTTTGTGTATGCCTTCAATTCTTGTAAGAAGTCCTTGAGATGGATCATGTTCCGCTTGGGTTCTGATGTCATGTTGGTTTTCGTTGATTTTATGATTTTCAGCATTTCTGTGGAATATTTAAAATGTGGGGAGCATTCCTTGTATCTGATGTTGATTAACTGTATTATCTTCACCTCATCTGTGCCCAGGTTACTTTTACAAAAATCTATAAACTAAAAAAATACACAAAATAATATCATTACCATTCATCATGACTTTATACTACGTTTACATAAGTGCACATTTAAGATGCCATAACTTTTTCTAGTATGTGCATCTACAATAATATTTTTGAGCCACAGCAACCTGTTATAATAGTTTCTGCAATGCCACTGGCTATAAAGGTAACTTTTTCTTGCTGTCTTTGAGAAAAGTTTTATCATGGTGGATGGGGAATCAATATAGTTAAATCATTAGAACGATTTACCCAAATCCACCATTATTTCAACCAATAATGACACAAAAACGTCACGATTTTACCGGTAAATTAAAAATGACAATTTGGCTAAAGAACGGTATATTATCAAATATCGATATAAATCATTGTCATATGAAATAATGGTGGATTTGGGTAAATTGTGCTGCCCTAGTTAAATTTCCCACAAGATAAAGCAAATCGGTGAAATTACACAAACCGGGTGGTGTTGATAAACAGAAACACGCCACTATCTTTCAGAATTAAATTCTATATTAATATTATGCATTCAGGCATGTGTCATATGACTTCTTATTAGGAATGGAAAAGTTTCAATGTCACACCAACGTGGTATTTAGGTCATTTTGAGACTAACATGGTTATTTTCATTTGTATGCTTTAAGTGTGCAAAGTTTGGGGAGGAATGTTTCCCTGGTTTCTGCTTACTCTTCTGTAAATCGTCGTTTTCATTAGCCCAGTCAGAGCAGAACTATAGGGTGTTAAAACCCATTTAATTTCGTTTCTTTAACTTGCAACTGCCAATTTGCATAATTTGCATCCAGAACCGTTATCCGTCCAATATATACAACTGGAATGTGTCGGTCCCATAGGTACCACCTGTAAGAAGTGAGAACCATGCTTCAAAATCCAATGTCCTAACCCACTTTTCATTAAAACTGCAAATATAACTATAATGATTGAATGGTGAAAGAATGTAACAAAAATTAATCACCCTTCTAAATTTTTTCTCAACTTGATCCTGCACCGCCATCTTGAGAAGTATATCTTCCTAAAATAGAAAATGATAATTAAATTTGTGTCCCTGTGTTTTCGAAACTTGAGATGTAAGAGATCAGAAGGATTGTTCTAATACTTAGTTCCTCCATCAGTCTGAATATTATTAATATTTACATTCCAATATTAAGTTCTCACTTTATTCTACTATGGTAGGGCTGTACATATACATTTGACGTGTTTGACATGTCTGTCATTATTGAATGTTCTGTAACCAGATAGGGTTTCTACTCTCTCTGTTCAGTCTATGCAGAATAGACAAAAACAATCAAATTACTACTGTACCATGAGATACCTAGAAATTTCTCAAGTCCTTCATTATGTTCCATCATATAGAATAATAACAACATCATACATATAGGCTTAAAGGACTTGCAGGAATAGCTGTCTGATGGTACCCTACAGTTTATATTGGCCTTAGGCCTTCTGACAATGTCTGCTTACATGTATCTCCTATCCTATGGTGTCTCCTCTATAAATACCCATTTTCTTGATACCAAGGTTACAATTGCTACCACACTAACTCTTGTCATCTGCACGTGCAGCACCATTTTTAAGAAATGGCATGTCAGAACAAACAAACGCTAGCACAACTTTCAATTAGTCAAAGTTCACTTATTTGTTTAAAAAAGGACTATTTTATTCATAACCTTTTAAGGGAATTGACGGTCTTCTCTTTAACATCTTACCAGTCAATTATAAAATAAGTTTTTCAATCTTAATCACACTGGAATTGTTTCTTGTTTATTTACATTGTAACTGTGATATGTTCAGAAATTATTTTTGAAAATAATTGGCAGCCTCCAATGTATTTCACTTCCTTTGAATCTAGGGCTGGCAGAAAATATCAATACTGCTGATAATCATCGGTAAAGCATTTTGAAGATTGATAATCGATACAGATTTAAAATATTGATAATTGTGCAATTATAGGTAGCCACTTGTCAGAAGAAATCCATGAAAGATAATACGTATCACAGTATTCTTTGCAAGGCACGCTTGCGCCTACATGTAGCTAGGTAACTGTAATTAAACAGAAAGTCATTAAACACATATTACAGCATAAAATCACATATAATTCATATACAAATTATGAATGTTTACAAAGCAATTGTAAGTAAAAACAGTTCACCGATATTATCGATTATTGATAGGCAGTTAGTCAACGATTAAAGATACTTGAAACCAGTATCGATTGCCAGCCCTGTTTGAATCAGTTTCAAAAAAACTCATACAAATTTCAGAAAGATTATTTTTTGGTAGTACTGTGCCATTATTTTGCATATTCTTTTCATTTTTGGGGTCAATAGCTGTAATGACGAAACACTGACCGTTACATTTGCCATAGGCTACATTTTTTGCAAGTTTCTCTCAAATTAATTTAATTTTGTTTTTGCATGTATAACTGAATTATTTTGTTGGGGTTTTTTACAATAAAACTTGTCCATGTGTTTGAAATCACCGCCCATTAAATAAAATCCATTGCACAATTAAATATTCCAATGAAAAATTTTTCTCTTGAAAATTAAATAATTTTGCCTGTATATTCGACAGTGTACATCACAACATTGCACATGTCACGTGATGAGCTAAACCATCGTAAGATGTTGAAGGGGGTAAAGGTTGACAAATTTTGACAATCACATGTGTTGCAATCAAAACAACGTGTGACCTTTTTCGATCATTTGAGTTTGGGCAAAACAAATGATTGTCAGTCTATTAAATTTTATTCACAATATATCACCGATTACACAGATACTCATAAATATAATATTGCTTTTCACATCATCATCATCCCATAATTGTAAATACCCTGTATATTATATATAGGCCCTACATCCCTGCCAGTTATATGCAACTCTGTGGCTAACATTTATAAATAAACACACTTTATTTCATAATTTTAATTGATCATATTTCATAACAGGGTCTAATCTCAATGCTCTGTGGTTATTAGTCCATTTTAAAAGTTTTATGATTACCACAAAAATACGAAAAAAGCTCACTGCTTCTCAAGGACTGTAAAACGAATGTTGTTCTTTTTGTTCTGCACCTGTGTTCAAAAGAAATAATCCCAACCAACTCTCTAATCAAATAATTAATACAAAATAGAAACAAAAGAACAGACTACAGACGTATTTATGTTTGTAAAAATATGACCAGGTAGTATTTAAGATAGCCATTTACCCAATATTAGGGAGTAGACTTAGGGAAAATATGTATAAGGGTGTTAGTTGACTAAGGTGCCAGTGTGTCTATAATATCTAAAGATCAATACAACAATAGTGGACTGAAAGACATACATAAACAACAACAAACTGAAACGTCCCGGGACATGTTAGAGGTGTTGGAGGTTCACTAACAAAGGTACATGGTATTGTGTCATTACCAATACAAATAGGGTGACTAACACTGCACCAAGATTTCCTAATTTTAGATAGCAATGTTCACTCCTTAATATTAGGTGTCGATTTCTTACAAACACAAAAGGCATTGACAGATTTTGATTTAAAGACACTCAGTCTTCAGAATGGAATGACAGTTGTACCACTTGGAGAAAAATAATCATCAGTTACAAGGTATTTGATCAAATTAAAGGACAACTTAGAAATCCAAAAATAACGTAAGTCATTGATGCAAATAAAACACTTATAAATAAATGTCAATGTTATGTACTGGGTGCTAGATGTTTAGTAAATGTCACTAATGGTTTAGCTTCATACAGACTGCTAAACCCTACCAAGGATGATGTGAGCCTAAACAGTAAACAAGTGCTGGGTATGCTGTCATGGGCGTGTGAAGATGAAATCCTAGATGAGTTAACTGATGAACATCCACATGTCAATGTTATGCAAGCGTCATTGGAAGCTGCTGATAAAAATAAAAAATTCTTTGAAGAAGCTAAATCTCTGGGTGTGGATTTAAAGGACAATATTGATGCCAGTCATTATCACATATGTGTTAGAGCTGGTTAAAAACATTCAAATTATACCTTTAACACAGAGATCATTGCTACGATGGCTGAGTAATACAGGTTTCCCGAATCGGAAATGACGAACGTCAAAGGAAAACACGAGTCACCGCTCTATATAACTGACTGAAGCGACGATTGATAACAGATACACGGCCGAATTTCTGCTCACTAATAATTCCATCGAAGACCAAAAGTTGTTGTGTGAGGATATCTGACAATTCATAAAAAGAATTGACTGCCACTAGATAAGAGAACACGAAAGAAAAACAGAAAAAGTCTGTGCATTACCATGTTTTTATAAGGTATAGAATGAATATAACCAAGGGAATGTACGGACTATTTCTATTTTTCTAGTGTTCTCTTATCTAATGCCATTATTGAATTGTCAGATATCCTTTTACAGTCCCATATAACAACTTTTGGTCTTCGAAGGAATTATTAGTGAGCAGAAATTCGGCCGTGTATCTGTTATCAATCGTCGCTTCAGTCAGTTATATAAAGCGGTGACTCGTGTTTTCCTTTGGCGTTCGTCACTTCCGGTTCGGGAAACCTGTATTACTCAGCTATTGTAGCAATGATCTCTGTGTTAAAAGTATATTTGGAATGTGTTTAACCAGCTCTATCACATATGTGATAATGACTGGCACCAATATTGTCCTTTAAGTGATCCTAATTGGTCAGAATAGGGATGTCTTTGCAAAAGATATGTCAGAATTAGACTCATGCAATGTAAAAGATTCCTATCATATCATTGACACAGGAGATGTCAAACCAATAAAACAAAGGTTTTATCGAGCAACACCAAAGGTGAAAGACGAAATGTTGAAAATAATTTATGAAATATTAATAAATCAAGTTATTCAACCTTCTACATCTGAATGGTTGTTGCCAGTGGCCTTTATCAAAAAGAAATCAGGTGATCTCCAGTTTGTCGTTGATTACAGAGCCTTAAACACAGTTACCAAACCAACCCATTTCCCCTTGCCCAGAATGGAAGATGTGTTCGACGGCATTGGAGAGGCCCATGCTAACATTTTTTCAACTTTAGATATGTTTTCTGGGTATTGGCAAGTAAACTTGGACTCTGCCACAAAGCACAAAACAGCATCCACATGTCACAGAGGTGATTTTGAGTTCAATCAGCTACCCTTTGGCTTGTCAAATTCACCCAGGGCTTTTCAACGTACCTTAACAGAAGTCCTGAGAGATCTGACATGGAAGATAGCACTAGTTTACGTAGATGATATTATAGTTTGGTCCAGGTCATTCGAAGAACATTTGAACCATCTAACTATAATTTTTAGCAGAATTTGAGATGCAAACCTTAAGTTAAAACCTTCCAAGTGTCACTTTGCGGGCTCAAAAGGTTTTACATTTAGGTCACATCATCTCAAACACTGGTATTGCTGTGGACAAAACAAAGACCGAAGCAGTACAGAGATTTCCTTGACCAAAGAACGTCAGTGAAGTCAGAGCATTTATAGGACTGTGCAGCTACTATGATATATAGTCATGGACACTTGACATGCTTTGAGAGTATGTTCACAGATGAAGAACTTATCGCCCCAACAGATCCACTGAGCTGCACATGCGACATGCAATAACGCCATACACGTGGGAGGGGTTCATTGTCAAATTTGACACTTCAAGGAAGGATTGATGAAAACTGACGCATGCTGGTTTATCTATCCATGTTTGCTTTCCTATCGGTTCTTGCATAAGATCTACTGTTTAGCGTATCTTAGCTTTAGTGTGTTACGTTTAATTTGATCGGGAGACGTGTTCGTCGACGTCAACATCAACCGATAACACTGCAAGAATTGGCCGTGGCACTGCAAGAGGAGTGGGTCAGATTGCCCCAAATCGTGATTGGACGGTTAATTAGGAACATGCCGTGACGAATTGCTGAATGTCTGAGGCTTGGTGGAGCAATTACTCATTATTAAGACAAAAATCAAAAACGTCCGTTTTCACTTTTAACGGTGTATCTCTTTGCGAGTGAAATGGGGCCGTCAGATAAGTCGCCCATATGAACTGTTTATGTTCATGTGTAGGCAGTTGACCTGTTATTAACATACACTGGTTACCTTTAATAAAAACAGCAGTGCATTTCCGCAGTTTTGTATTGTTTCTGAATATCCCCTACTTTTTTTGAAGCGTATTTATGCATTCACAATATTAGTGTTCATACTTTACTATATGATAATAGCATGTATATATATATATAAGCATAAGGTGTCATTCTATATTGTCAAGGCAGATTCTAATAGGGCATAACAAGTGACAAATGATCGAATAGCAGCAGAATTTAGAAGAGTAATCCTTTATGTCTGGCATGCAAAACAATGAAAGAATGAATGAATGAATGAAATGGGGTTTAAGGTCCTACTGTTTTGCTCCGAACTAGGCTAATGAAGACGGGCATACGACATACAGTGTACTATGAGGGAAACTTTGGCCGAACAGCAGCACTACAGCATACTCTTATATCGAATTCCAACTGTCGAGGGATCTTTAACATGCATGCCAATGTGTACACGGGACCTCATTTTTCCGTCCCCTCAGAATGACTAGACAGCTGTCCTTGTCAGGCCCTCCATCCTGCATCACTGACAAGGGGGAACCACGCCGGAAAATCTGGATGAACTTTCTCGGCCAGTGCAGGGATCGAACACCCGACCTCCAGGCTAGCGAGCCAGCTTCTTACCCACTTGGCCACCATGACCCCGGCATGCAAAAAAAGATCAGAGTAGGGCTGCACCGAATAGAGATAGTAATTATATGCATTTGTGAATCACGGTACAGTTTTTTTTGCCTACAAGGCATATGGTTTTATTTCTTTGGAACCTTGAAATAAACAAAAATTGTCTAAAAGCACATACATGTATTACGGCAATATGAATGTATGTAAAGTAATTTACCTTCAAAATCAAAACAAACCCCCCAAAAAAATTGTAATCTCTAATCAATTATGTTTGGTGAAATATGTGGACAGTTCAAATGAACGGTAATCGTTTATGCCTGCTTAATGCATTCTAAGCGTTTGTGAATCAGCATTTACTAACTACTTCCACATTGTGTTGTAGGGTATGTTTTTATTTGTTCATTACAAAACGACATCTGAAACCATAGGGTACACAACTCGTGTACTGATTATAAAATGTTAATTGTGTCTTAAATATTGGATATTAGGATCCTATAGTTATGGCAAAATAACAACATCAATATCGATTTAAATTGATCAATATTGAATTCTAATTCGTGTAAATTCAAATATTATGGAAAATATTGAGTTAAGAGACTTAGCTCCTTTAACATAGGCCTTAGGCCTACCAGAATGAGGTTGGGAGAGAGAGAGAGAAATGGGGTTTAACGTCCACTCGACACAAACTAAATACATAATTTACAGTGTTGATAAAAAAGGTCTTTTTCACGATTTTGAAAGTCCCATCCATAAACCTTATCCCGGATTTAGCAAGCCAACTGTCTTGTGTTTGAAAACATCAAATTTCTTTCTCCTTCAACTTTTATATCGGCATGTAAAAAATCATCAGGTATTGCATCTTCATTTACCTATAAAATAAATTTGTAAATATAGCTTAACCTAAAATATAGTAATATTACAAATTTTGTAATATTGTAACAATTGTTAATTTGTAATTATAACTTTCAACACAATAAATAACTTAGAAATTTTCTAACACAGTACATGTTTTTTCTCTTATTCGGTTAGTTGCTCTGATTAGGTTCTCTGGATTTTCTCTAAATGGATTGGAGATGGCCATTTCTTTTACCTTTTTTAGTTGATAAAAAATAAATGATTAATGTTTACTCATATATCACCTAATCAGCTCAGAGGGTTTGAAGTACCTAATTAGGGATTATCAAGTCAGTTAATTAATTAGTACCGGTACTCACCTCTTTCCTTTGAATTACAATTACACTTTACAGCATGTACTTTTCCGGGTTGGCTTGGGTTGTTATGTCTCCAGGACACATGGTTTGTATAACTGTAGCACCACGTCGATGTTTTGTTTAAATATATTGTTTTTCATTAAATTAAAAATGTTTGGCCGTTACGACTTAATTTTTTGGCCATTATGACCAAACTATTTGGCCGTTATAACCAAACTGTTTGGCCGTTATGACTAAAGTAGGGCCGTTTTGACCAAACCTGTTTTTGGCCGTTATGGCATAGGGCCGTTATGACCACATTCCCAAATTATACCAAGTAGAAGTGAGTTGTTGAATTATTGTATGTTCAATCTTACACCCTCAACTAGGTTGAACATACAACCCATTGTCGAAGGTTGGACTATAAGCAGGTCCCTAAACCCCAGATGATACTCATTACTGGGTCAGAGAACAATAGCTTATTCATACACAAAATTTGAATTGTCGTAAAAGAGCCAGACACCATTATTATTAAGAAAGAGAAGCCTGGCTGCCACCCCTTGTACGAAATGATCTATCCCGATAAGTGACGTAATTAGCTTCCATTTTTGTATTTCTCCATGTCCATAGATGAAGTTTTTATTTCTTATTCTTGGAATATTTAGTTGTACAATGGATTTTATTTTTTACAGGAGTAGGGTGACCCACCATAAATAAATATCTCCATATATCTCGACAATTTCGCCACAATATTTATATATATGCCAAGCCTCAAATCAGTTTCACACAATTATAGTCACTAAATAAACGATCATGTTGTACTTAATAAGCTATGACCATTAATCATCTATAAATAATAGACTGAAAACTGGTTCCATGTGTCGTCCATAACATCCAGACACTTTTGCGTAAAAGATAGGTTACGTGCCCTTGTTTTGAAATTAGTCTCGCTTAACCAGTCTATCGACCATTCTAGGGCTGATTGACAGGTCGGAATAATCCAGACTACTTTTTTACGAAACATAACAGAAAGCTAGAACAAGAAATTGAATTTAGAAATGAGCACGTTAGCTAGCTCAACAATTGTTTTAAGAAGCTTGTAAAAGTAAAATGAAACTACTGCTAGTATCATGTTCCTGTCTAACCCGAGTGTTTCTGAGATATTATTTGTACTAAACCAAAAGATGCCGCTCTTAACGGTACAGTTAATGATAAAGCGATTTAAAAATTGAAACGAACGTAATTTCTAAATCTGCTGTAATAACCAAGAAGCTTAATTTTACTGCTATTCAAAATCGTCAACAATAATTTTTTTACGGTTGTAATAGTTGATAGATTTGTAGAGAATTGCACGTGCCATGGCTATTTATAGTATCATACTGTCAGAAAGTTGGCCTCGACACGGCGAATGTGCACGCTTCAGTGGTAGTCTCGAACTATCAGCGGTTGACTGTATTTCTGTAGGTGCGTGGGTCACCCTAACAGGAGGTGATTTCAAACACATAGGGAAGTAAATGAAGTTTGTTCATAATCGAAGAAATCTGTTTAAAATTTACGACGGTTCAGACAGTAGTACTAGTAGTAACAGTACTAGTGTATTACCACTAACCATTGGTAAATAAATTGTATGTTCTTTCCCCTTTTTTTAATTTAAAATTTTATAAAATATTTATTACCGGTATATTAAATTTAAACGTACACAAAACCTGGGTAGATCTAAGTAGACACCAGGAAAAAATCTGCCAAAAAAGCAAACATTATCATGTCGTTATTTTTCTCTCAATGATAATCTTAGAGCCACCGACTTCCGATTTCACAAAAGGGGAAAGCATAGATAGTCTTTATAGGATATCTATGGGGGAAAGACAAAAAAATAAATCACTTCCCGTACAATGACCTTCACCTCCGGTGCATATTATTTAGTCCTGGAGATCAGATGAAACGAATATTCTCGTTTTGTCACGTTACAGTAAAAATGCTATAGTGAAAGTTTAATTTCATCATTTATTAAGTTCACTGTGTAATCTATTTCAGAATTATTTTTTTTTAAAAAAAACACAATTACTTTTGGAATTATGGCGCAATTATATACATTTTTATAATGAATTACTATCACTTTGTGATTCAATTTCATTGACGCAAAGCACTAATTGAGATATCACATCCAGCGCCCGGATTCAAAATGAAGTTAGCACACATTTTCCTAGCGCCAATAGAAACCTACATAATTATCACGAAAATAATTGTTACCTTTTTATTAGAAAATAACATTTAAGTATGGAAGCCTATAACTACCATTCATAATTTCTACTTTTCGCCTCTTCAGAACACGAAAGTCGAAAAGTAGAAGTTACGACAAAATGTGAGGCGACAAGACGGTGTACAAGCCAAAATCAACTCGAAAATAGGAAATTAAGAAATAACACACCGCGATAATAGCGCCCCCCGTTTTTTCTTAATTTCTACTTTTCGACTTGCATTTTGGCTTGTATACCGTCTTGATTCTGTGAAACAAAAAGCATTTTGCCACCAAAGCTGGTTTGGATGCTTTTTGATGCAGCTTGAGCGTACCCCTTGTTTATTGAACCCTCCAACGCCGCCTCGAATCCGGGTGCTAGAAACTTTGCGGTGGTATAACTCGATACGCCAACAAAGAACGTTAATGCAATTTGGCATGTTCATACCTTATGCATCTGTCGATTTGGTGAAATAAAGATCTTGGAGCCACCAAAGCTAGTTTAGAAGTTATTGCGTGCGCAGTGAGCCTACCCTAACACGATTCCCCAATCGTTTTAGTGTGTTTTCGTTAATATATCTAAAAAATCCAGCATAGGAGGCTTCTGGATTTTTGTATTCTAGTAGTTTATTCATCCCTTGACTCTGTGAAATACAAAACATTTTGCCACCAAAGCTGGTTTCGGTGCGTTTTGATGCAGCGTGGACCTACCCCTTTTCTCCGTGCTAAGTTTGCCTAGTGTGCGATATTTTAGTATGTTTACGGTAATAGTAATAATTTTTTTTTTTTTTTTTTTTTTTTTGGGGGGGGGGGGCTATTTTACATATATACTTTGCATTAATATGTCTTAAATATGGAAGCCTATAACTACCATTCATAATTTCTACTTTTCGCCTCTTCAGAACACGAAAGTCGAAAAGTCGAAAAGTAGAAGTTACGACAAAATGTGAGGCGACAAGACGGTATATAAGCCAAAATCAACTCGAAAATAGGAAATTAAGAAATAACACACCGCGATAATAGCGCCCCCCGTTTTTTCTTAATTTCTACTTTTCGACTTGCATTTTGGCTTGTATACCGTCTTGTCGACTTTCGACTTAGTCATATTTTTGTATTTATTGATGTCAGTAAGAAGGCGCCAACACGCTATACAAGCCAAAATGCAACTCGAAAAGTAGAAATTAGGAAATTAACACACTGCGCTATTAGCGACCTATGATCTGTCGTACTGTCGACTTTTCGCCTAGGAAGTTATTGTAGTCTCTGTCTTCCAGGTCACATTTGAATACGCGCAATTCCCTTTAACAAAAATGTCTGTGTGATAGAGTCTATGAAAAAGCGTGCTGAGCGAGACCGCTGCTGAGCGAGGCCGTATGTCAGTCAATTTGATTGACAGTTCGATATACGGCCTTGATATTACTTTTAGTTGTGGTTAAAATGAGAGTTTGGATCTCCCTGCACCTGTTTCTTATGTTTATATCTTGTAAAAATTTTCTCCATTAATTTCCATACTTGAATGTTAATATAAATGATGAATATTATCTTATATCTAGTAGGCAAACCCATCGCCCTATCTCACAAAGAATCTAAACAGGCTCGCTGTATCGTAGTTGCAAAAATGAGATGTTTGATCTTCCACTAAATCGTTATATCCCCCCACCCACCCACTCTCTCTCTCACTTTTATTTTATATATCTCAGAAATAGTAAAACTGTACTACATATAGAACCCCCAATCGGCATCGCAATGCAGTCAGTCTTTTTCTTTTGTTTAAAAGATTTGGGGGATATTTTTTCAATTGATTTTGATAAAATAATCATATTTCCTTCGAACGTTAAATACGTATATTAAGGACATTATACTATATTATATCCCAGAAACACGGAAATTTATCATCCAATATCGCGTATAGAGCCTAATCGGCCTCGCTATGCATGAAGTATACAATCGGCCTCGCTTAGCAGTTGGACTTTTGGAAGATTATAAAGTATTTCTATCAATTAATTTTCATAGAAAGAAAACAATATTTAAGTGATAGCATTTTATAAATTAAGAATTGTATCTTATATATATATCACAGAAATAGCGAAATTCGTTGCACTATACCATATGAAGTATACAATCGGCCTCGCTTAGCAGTGGGACCTTTTCTTAATTTTGAGAGATTGTGAAGTATTTCTATGAATTAATTTTCATAGAAAAATTATATTTAAGTGATTGTATTATATAAATTAAGAATAATATCATGTATATCACAGAAATAGCGGAATTCATCGCATTATACAACATGAAGTATACAATCGGCCTCGCTTATCAGTGGGACTTTTTCTTAAGTTTTGAAAGATTATAAAGTATTTCCATGAATTAAATTTCATAGAAAAATTATATTTAAGTGATTGTATTATATAAATTAAGAATAATATCACAGAAATAGCGGAATTCATCGCACTATACCACATGAAGTAGACAACCGGCCTCGCTTAGCAGTCAGCCCTTTTCTTATACGATTAAAAGATTTGCGGATATTTTTTCAATTGATTTCCATAAAATAATGATATTTCTTTCTAATGTGTTACGTATATTAAGCACACTATCTTATATATCCCAGGAACACGGAAATGCATCATCCAATACCGCGTATAGAGCCTAATCGGCCTCGCTGGGACTTTTTCTTAATTTTGAAAGGTTATAAAATATTTCTGTGTATTATATAAATTAAACATGCATTATGTAAGAGCTAAATTTGCATATTCTATGTCTTTCTTTAGGCCTGAAATGTTATATAAACTATTAATTAGACATTGATTAACGTATCCAGACTATAATCAACGCTAGCCTGCGATATTTGTTGGATTATTATCCGATTTGCTGCATAACTTTCCTTCTCGATTTAACGAGTAAGTGGATAATCGAGACTATGATTTTTGTCGAACAGACTTTAGTAATAATCCTTATAAGACATATAGAAGTAGATTTCACAAATTAAAAACACTTATATGGATATACTACTTCTGAATTTATTAACATGCTACGTTTCGATACACATACAGATATCGTTATCAAGCAAATAATGATTTATAACAAAAATGTGGTGCAATATATAGTTAACAATTGGAAACCATGTAACAGATTAATCAATAATTAAGAATAAACAAGATGAGAAAAGTAATAATATGGATAAACAATTACAAAGGATTAACAAATTGAAAGCTTGTAATGTATTGATAACAATCAATAAATAGTCCTTTCTAAACTCGACCTTCAAATAAAATGGGAGCGACTTAAACAAGAAAGAGGCGGGGCTTACATCTGCCTCGCTCGTCAGAATCGTAAAAATCGGTCTCGCTCAGCACGCTTTTTCATTTACCAACTAGACTCTATCACACAGACATTTTTGTTAAAGGGAATTGCGCGTATTCAAATGTGACCTGGAAGACAGAGACTACAATAACTTCCTAGGCGAAAAGTCGAAAAGTCGACAGTACGACAGATCATAGGTCGCTAATAGCGCAGTGTGTTAATTTCCTAATTTCTACTTTTCGAGTTGCATTTTGGCTTGTATAGCGTGTTGGCGCCTTCTTACTGACATCAATAAATACAAAAATATGACTAAGTCGAAAGTCGACAAGACGGTATACAAGCCAAAATGCAAGTCGAAAAGTAGAAATTAAGAAAAAACGGGGGGCGCTATTATCGCGGTGTGTTATTTCTTAATTTCCTATTTTCGAGTTGATTTTGGCTTATATACCGTCTTGTCGCCTCACATTTTGTCGTAACTTCTACTTTTCGACTTTTCGACTTTTCGACTTTCGTGTTCTGAAGAGGCGAAAAGTAGAAATTATGAATGGTAGTTATAGGCTTCCATATTTAAGACATATTAATGCAAAGTATATATGTAAAATAGCCCCCCCCCCCCCAAAAAAAAAAAAAAAAAAAAAATTATTACTATTACCGTAAACATACTAAAATATCGCACACTAGGCAAACTTAGCACGGAGAAAAGGGGTAGGTCCACGCTGCATCAAAACGCACCGAAACCAGCTTTGGTGGCAAAATGTTTTGTATTTCACAGAGTCAAGGGATGAATAAACTACTAGAATACAAAAATCCAGAAGCCTCCTATGCTGGATTTTTTTAGATATATTAACGAAAACACACTAAAACGATTGGGGAATCGTGTTAGGGTAGGCTCACTGCGCACGCAATAACTTCTAAACTAGCTTTGGTGGCTCCAAGATCTTTATTTCACCAAATCGACAGATGCATAAGGTATGAACATGCCAAATTGCATTAACGTTCTTTGTTGGCGTATCGAGTTATACCACCGCAAAGTTTCTAGCACCCGGATTCGAGGCGGCGTTGGAGGGTTCAATAAACAAGGGGTACGCTCAAGCTGCATCAAAAAGCATCCAAACCAGCTTTGGTGGCAAAATGCTTTTTGTTTCACAGAATCAAGAGATGAATAATCTACTAGAATACAAAATTTCAGAAGCTTCCTCTGCTGGTTTTTCGAGATATATCACCGTAAACATACTAAAACTATGGGGGAATCGGGTAAGGGTAGGCTCATCGCGCACGCAATAACTTCTAAACTAACTTTGGTGGCTTCGAAATCTTT